GTGGGACTGCACAGCCAGTCACATGTGGGTTACTTTGATGCCTCACTGTGTGTCTATGTGAAGGTGTACTTTGTAGATGACCTGTCCTTTGTAGCCTGTAAAATCCAAGGTGCCCATAAGTTGTTTGCTATGCAACATTTTACAGCAATAGTTGGTGAGAAATTCACACCCTGGGCCTTCCAAGGTTTTGAACCAATATTTATAGAAAGTCAGAAATTATGCCAAAATCAAATGGCCCAATGGCGTTACTGAATTGTGACAGGAATTACATAGTTTGAACTTGTGATAAGATGGTCTGTACAGTCTACTTCACTTTTGAACCCTGTTTCTTAGCAAGTTTCCGATTCCCTTCAAATTTGATCAGTTTATATAATGTGTTCCTAACTTGTGCTGCTGCCATGTTGTGTTGCTACCATGTTGTTGTCATGTGGTGTTGCTACCATGCTGTGTCATGTGTTGCTGCCATGCTATGTTGTTGTCTTAGGTCTCTCTTTATGTAGTGTCTCTCTTGTCATGATGTGTGTTTTGTCCTATATTTTTATTTTTAATCCCAGCCCCCGTCCCCACAGGAGGTCTTTCGCCTTTTGGTAGGCCGTCATTGTAAATAAGAATATGTTCTTAACTGACTTGCCTAGTTAAATAAAGGTTAAATAAATAAATACAAATTAATGAATCCTCTTCATTCCTAGAATATTATAAGGCCTATTAAAGATTTCCAACACAGGAGGTTGGTGGCACTTTAATTAGGGAGGTCGGCTATTGGTAATGGATGGAGCGGAATCAGTGGAATGTTATCAAATACATGGCTTTCATGTGTTTGATGCCATTTCATTTCCTCCGTTCCAGCCATTATTATGAGTCGTTCTCCCCTCAGCAGCCTCCTGTGATTTCCAACACTGCCAGTCTTGGTGCCAGTCTTTATTCAATAGGATTTTGACCTATTAGAGGAGGTGGCAAAAAGACAACTATATTTATCGCTTGTAAAAGATCAGACGAAGCAGACCGAACATTAGTATCACTTTATATGAACCATCCGGGTGTAATGTATATTATATATTATATTAATGTAGTCCAAGTATATTTACAGGCATCTTTAAAGGCTGTTATAAGAAACCATGAGCTGTTATGAATGCTTATAGCAAGTGTTATAATGCTCTATTGGTGTGATAGACGGCGCCCATTACACATGGGTGGTTCATTGAAAGTGCTCCAAAGGCATCTTTTTTCCTGAGCTAATTAACACAGTGTTCTGTTGGTGTTTAACTGGGCACCAACATGGTGCCTGTCCTCAATCCGCCCTTATAAAACCCACTGGGACCTGAGTACAGGAACCTTCCAGGAAAGTCCTTCTGTAAGTCATGACTCATACGCCTTTAAGGGAATATGAGAGCCTTTTACTTCACAGAGGAACTAGTGGTATGTTTGAATGTGCGCTATCAGGTGTCACTCTCTGATGCTTATCGAATCATGCTGCTTTACTAAAGCAAATACAGGGAAACCCGATACTGTAGACATACATATATTATACATACTGTACAAACATACTGTAAATGCACACACCCCCATACATGCACGTACACCCACAGTGACAATTATGCTCGGGCACCATAGGCCAGCTGATAGCGAGGGGATCTCCAAGAATAAGCTCAGTGTTCTGTGAAACATCCTCTGGCGAATTACACAAACTAGGCAAGTCATTTAAATTAGTAATCCTACTAAACTGCCAGTTCAGTTTTCACAGAACTACTAGGGCAGAGTACTTGTTTCATTGTAACACAAGGGAACTATATCAGAAGGAAACGTTTCTGAGAATGCTGTCTGTAAACTTGCGGAGTGGACTCTCGGCCTCCCATTGAACTTGGTCAGTTTCCTTGCAAGTGTCTCTGTATCTTGGCATGGATACTGCTTGTACGGTGCATTCGGAATGTATTCAGACCCCTTGACTTTTACCACATTTTGTTACGTTACAGCCTTATACTAAAATTGATTAAATAAATAAAATTCCTCAGCAATCTACACACAATACCCCATAATGACAAAGAAAAAACAGGTTTTTAGAAATGTTTGCAAATGTATTAAAAATATAAACAGAAATACCTTATTTACATAAGTATTCAGACCCTTTGATATGAGACTCAAAATTGAGCTCAGGTGCATCCTGTTTCCATTGATCATCCTTGAGATGTTTCTAAAACTTGATTGGAGTCCACCTGTGGTAAATTCAATTGATTGGATATGATTTGGAAATGCACACACCTGTCTATATAAGGTCCCACAGTTGACAGTGCATGTCAGAGCAAAAACCAAGCCATGAGGTTGAAGGAATTGTCCGTAGAGCTCCGAGACAGGATTGTGTCGAGGCACAGATCTTAGGAAGGGTACCAAAAGGTCCCCAAGAACACAGTGGCCTTCATCATTCTTAAATGGAAAAAGTTTGGAACCACCAAGACTCTTCCTAGAGTTGGCCCGCCTGGCCAAACTGAGCAATCGGGGGAGGAGGGCCTTGGTCAGGGAGGTGACCAAGAACCCAATGGTCACTCTGACAGAGCTCCAGAGTTCCTCTGTGGAGATGGGTGAACCTTCCAGAAGGACAACCATCTCTGCAGCACTCCACCAATCAGGCCTTTATGGTAGAGTGGCCAGACGGAAGCCACTCTTCAGTAAAAGGCACATGACAGCCTGCTTGGAATTTGCCAAAAGGCACCTAAAGGACTCTCAGACCATGAGAAACAAGATTCTCTGGTTTGATGAAACCAAGATTGAACTCTTTGGCCTGAATGCCAAGCGTCACGTCTGGAGGAAACCTGGCACCATCCCTACGGTGAAGCATGGTGGTGGCAGCATCATGCTGTGGGGATGTTTTTCAGGGGCAGGGACTGGGAGACTAGTCAGGATCGAGGGAACATCGAGCGCTCAGGTTCACCTTCCAACAGGACAACGACCCTAAGCACACAGCCAAGACAACACAGGAGTGGCTTCGGGACAAGTCTCTGAATGTCCTTGAGTGGCCCAGCCAGAGCCCGGACTTGAATACGAACTAACATCTCTGGAGAGACCTGAAAATAGCTGTGCAGCGACGCTCCCCATCCAACCTGACAGAGCTTGAGAGGATCTGCATAGAATAATGTGAGAAACTCCCCAAGTACAGGTGTGCCAAGCTTGTAACATCATACCCAAGAAGATTCGAGGCTGTAATCGCTGCCAAAGGTGCTTCAACAAAGTACTGAGTACTGGGTCTGAATACTTATGTAAATGTAATATTTCCGTTGTTGTTGTTTTTTTGTGTAAACATTTCTACAAACCTGTTTTTGCTTTGTCATTATGGGCTATTGTGTGTAGATTCATGAGGGAGAAAAAACAATTTAATCCATTTTAGAATAAGGCTGTAAGGTAACAAAATGTGGAAAAAGTCAAGGGGTCTGAATACTTTCCGAATGCACTGTATGCGACTACAAGTAGACATGGGCTACTGTTGTGTTTCAAGAGGCATACTAGCCTATATGTTATGGAACGTTATTATCATTGTATCACGTCTTACATTTTTTTGCCAAAATAAACTTTGTTCCCAAATGATCCATACAGATGCTGAATACCTGAACCTTTTCCAGCTGTCAGACTAGTTCATTTGGATGTGAGCCAAGTACTATATGTCAAAATATGTCAAAAAAGTATAGGTTTCCTTCTGAGCAACAACCTAAATGTAATTACAGATTCTTAATACAACTCCTTAATTGATAATAGCCTTATTAAATCAGGGTTTAGGTAAAAGGATGTATTGAATAACTGAAGTCCAAACCAGGAATAAACTATTTGGATCTCCTTATGTGATGGTCTGGGTATCAAATCAGGGTCATAGCCTATATGCAACTGAAAACAATGTTATCCCACTGAGCTGAAGCCTTTAACTTAGGGGAGCCAACACAAGTCCACATGTCTTATGCAAGGTTACGTGAATGTTTGGAAAATGATTAAATAGTGTTTTACAGTGCTCACAATCCACTGGGCACAGACATCAGTTCAACTTATAGTTTTGATTTACATTTGGTCAACTAATGTGAATTTAACATGAAATCAACAAAAAATGCCACCAATTTATTCCACGTTGATTCAACATTGTATTTTTGTTATTGAAATTGGGGGGATGTTGTTGATGTTGACCATGTCCATGTTAATTGACTGAAGAGGGGGTCGTCTTCTAGATCTGAGAGCAAGACATTGGTTCCCCATTGTGCTGATGTGTCACCTGCTGCTGCTGTGAACGTGCAGGACAGTGACCTCGGAGGGCCCCAGGAAAGCCTCCCCACCCCCGCCACGCATGGCTGTGTCTCCCAGACAGCAGGCTACAAGCCGGGGAGACGACCCTTGCGTCAACAAAACTGGGTGGGGGTTGTCGGCGTCTCAACAAAACCGTAAGATGTTCACACTAAAGGCCTCTGAGAAATGCCATCAAAAGGAAAATAACGGATATTACTTTGGTGAAGCTCCATGGCATCATGGCACACCGGCACTTCTGGCACACTTGCATACCAGGATTACAAAGGATGTCACTGTTTCCAGTGAATCAAAAGTTAGGAATATTTGATCCATTGTTTACGATGTAATTTCTGTAGAAATTGTAGTCAGCCAAGTGGAAAGCGTGTACAGCGGATTATTCATAGATAATGAGTGAATAGGAAGTCCTTGCTTGCTTTTTTGAGACATCATTTAGGCTACATTTGGGGACTATTGTTTGAAAACATGGATATTATTTGGATGACAATAAAAGAAAACATTTGACCCATAACAGCGGAAGTCGTTCAGATAGTCATCACAGGACAATGCAACTTTATTTTCATTGTCATCAATAACAAAAATCTAACGGATCAGTTGTAGAAACACCTACCGGATAAGTGCAAACCCAGGGACAAATCCATAAAAGCGCTTCAGTTGCAATTAATGGTGTATATAGGCGAAATGCGCGAAACATCGAGGATCCTGTGAGGGACTATGCGGATTCCGATATGGAGTTACCACCCAGTGAGTAACTAGTAGTCCTAATGCTTTAGTTTTTTCCTCCTGGGGTTGAATATTTTCATGGTTTGGCAAAGAACGACCTGAGTTGATGGTTTATCGCTCTTGTCTGTGTTGGTGCGTAAAGAGTGTGTGCTCATCCCTATCGGATGTATCGTCTTATCACATTGCGGAGGGGAGGTAAATAACAGTTTTAGCAGGTTGCCAAAATCAGTGATGCGAACAAAGCCTGATATATCGTTGCTCTGCTGAGGAGCCGGAGGCTACTGTTTTTAGCTCTGACTGGGAGATGCACGCAGCACTAAACTCTCCACATTCAGCATCTGGAGAATGCGGACAAGTACACTGGGCATGATTGGGATTAAATCGACCGATGCCCTTTGCAATACCTGTTGAGGAGTGTGTGAACATATTTGATCATTTCGCGCAATGTGTTTAAACGATGCCGCACTGCTTTGCAAATGTTCCACAATTCAATTAGAGGTAAGACCGTTTTCTAATTACTTGGTATGTTATAAACGAAATAGGCAATTATATCCACATTTTCGGAATAATAATTAGCTATATAGCCCAAGCAATGTGTAAGTGTTTTGTGAGCATTTCGATTTTTGTCCAATTCCTGTCGCGCCCTCAAAACCATAGAGGAACGTTTTCATTTTGGTTTCCAAATTAGGGTTTCCACATAATGTCCACATGATGTGAGCAGTGAGCTACTGGAAGTGTATTACAGTAAAAGTAGTTTATTTTCACATAGAGGTTTTGACACAGCGAAGGGCTCAACTGGGGTGCGTAAAGTCTCCGAATTAATAGCCTAATGAGGCGAAGCATGGATGAGCTTTATCCCCGCGGATCCAGCTCAGTGGAGCGCATTACGCACGGGTCTCCCTGAGCCACACACGTTTCAGTATTGGATTTGAAGCTGCATGCTGGTACAATTACCATGTTGCATTTGATTGGGGATCACTAAGAAAATAATTTGGGAAAAATAACTAATTCCAATACATTTGTCAAGACAGTCTCATTGTGATAACAGTTAATATGACTTCAAATTGTGTTATGTTGTTTCTGTCTGTAGACAGATTTTCTTTTCAATATTTAAATAATAAAGCATTTGATTATTCCATTGTCTTAACCTTGGGGTATCATTTGACTTCCAGCATTTAAGTAGCTTCTTCAATATAAGTGACGAAATTAATATTGTCCAACCCATTGGGTATCTCACCGAACCTCATAGGCTATGCCATGTCTTGAAATATGCAGATAGACAGATAAAAAGTACATTTATATTGTAAAACTTCTGAAAGCCAGCATTCTAACTCTGCCCATGACTTTTGGACTTTATAGCACCCCGAGAAGGCATGAATTGTTGAGTCATTGTTCGTTTTACACTTAAGACATGACTCTGCCATTGTGCCGTAGAATTTGTGAATTTTGTCTATTTTTATGATACATTTTATACATTAGTTTATACTGGATTAAGCCTACATTTGTTGACTGTAATTTTGTTTCAATAGTTTAGAAATAGATTTTAAGAGATTGTCAGTTGGAGAGGCTCTCTGCAAGGTTTTGTCAATCTTACCAATCATATGAGAATCTGTTTCTGACACAAAAACGTATCCAAAAACTTTCAGGTCAAAATTTCGTGATATTAAACTTTGAAGTTGCATATATTTGAACATGTCTACATTGATCAGCCCAAAATTGCTTTTGAATACTTTCATGGAAATAAATGTATTTCATATTACCATATAATTTATGGTTTCTGTGCCTTTAGTTTTCCAGGCCAATTTATCAGTGAATTCTGAAAAGCTATCCAAGGATTGTTCCATAGGGGTGTGTTTTTAGGGAGTGATATTGGTTCTTGTAGAATCCATTACATTTTTTCCCCATGTTGTTATAGGGTTCTTAACTATGAAGTTGTTAATGTTCTTAGCTCCACCCTTTGAAAACAGACACGTGAAAGGATTCTGGGGATGAGCATGGCATCCAAAGTTTTGAATAGAAAAGGCCACTCAAGATTATCAAAAGCCTCATGGTTAACAAATGTACATGTCAGTACTATTTTACCCTTGACCATACCATGAGTACCAACCAACTCAGTGGCATTGTGGTTACAGTGTCCTCTCTGAGATTGGAAGGTTGAGCTGATGGATTGGGGGTAAGGCCCTGCCCTGCGATATACTGACGTCCTGTCCAGAGGGTGTGCTTGTACATCAAGATGCCTCACGCTAACAGGAGAGAGAGGCTCCTGCCCTATGTGCCGTTCTGGCTCTGACAAGGCTATTTACTTACCATGAATAAGGAGATGGATATGTTTCCTGTTAGTTAACTGTAGCATGACTCTGCAATGTTGAGGCAGTGAGGAAGTCAGGCTTCTAGTTAATGCTGATTAATGTTAGAATGGGATGACTTTACATTTCTCAAAGGATTATTTAGCAGAAAATGGATTTCCACAGAGGAAGCTCAGGATTCCACCCTTTGACTTTGCACTACATTGGGGTTCCTCACAGGAAATTATGACATATCAGTGTGACCTGCTTGCTGATTACTCACAACGTTGCACTTTCATTTACAATTTTAAAAAAGTATTTTAGTCATTTTGCAGATGCTCTTATCCAGAGCGATTTACAGTTAGTGCATTAATCTTAGACTTTGAGTGTAAGAGAAAAGGCTGCCAGTGTAGTTTGTCGTTATATATCATTTCTCTGTCACTCTTCCCAATTGGATTTAAGTGCTGAGTTCACCTTGAGAATAAACAAAGATCATGTAGAAGTCATTTGAATGATTAAATGTCAAGAGTTGATTGAAGTGACAGCTAGGTGACCTTTGGGAGATTAATCTGCCACACTTTAAGTCTAGTGCTTGCCAAGGTGCATAATCAGTCCACAGCACAGAACTAGACCATAGAAAGGCAACAAATAGAAGTCAAATCTTGGCATTTGATGCTGTTGGCACTGGTCCTGTTACCTTTAAATTTGGCCAACTTCCTGGACTCAGAGTCCCTTTGCTCAGCTCGTAGCTGCCATTGAAGAGTCAGCATTGCAGAGTCACTCAGTGAGAGAGTCTGAGAGTGAGTTATGAGGTCAGTTATGCTGCTTTCACCCACAACCTCTCAGAATGGAATGAGGTGCAAGGTTATAGTGCAATCCATACTTTAGTTTGTCCTGTCATTACATTGTGTCAATACTCCCTAAGTACCTGGAAGGGGTTAAACATATGTGTATACTGCATTGGTTTATCTTTATACTTCACACACACAGACACCCCCGCATGCGTGTGCACGCACACACACACACACACACGCACGCACGCACGCACACACGCACACACTACTGCTGCTGCTGGCTTAAGTGCTTATCAGAGACCACAACAGTGTTCTAGAACAGGGGTCTTCAACCTTTTCTTGCCCACGGACCCCCGCACAGGCAAATCAGCAACCCAGGGACCTCAATCATGTGTTAGCAAAAGTTTGTCATTATTTTGACCTACACGCATTTTAATAGGACGAGGAAGTGCTCTCAGAGCTGCGTAGCTATGTCACAATGGACTGCCGGACTGTCATCGCTGCGGCTTTGGACTTTGGACTGAATAAAGGCTTAGTTTCTCATCTCCACAGGGCCAATGTGAGGTTCCAGTATGTGGTGAGGGGGTGGATGGAGTCAAATGGAGAGCTGACGCAGATAAGCCAGTGCTTATAGCTGGCTCAATTGTGGCACAGTTGGACAACACAGACAGACAACATAAAGAGGTTATTTGAGAAGCCCCCAGGGTTGGTAGCCTACAAAGTGGAATGGTCTGGAGCTGTACACACAAACACATCCTATGAGCCAGGGTGAAGCATCCTATGAGTCAGGGTGAAGCATCCTATGAGTCAGGGTGAAGCATCCGATGAGTCAGGGTGAAGCATCCTATGAGTCAGGGTGAAGCATCCTATGAGTCAGGGTGAAGCATCCGATGAGTCAGGGTGAAGCATCCTATGAGTCAGGGTGAAGCATCCGATGAGTCAGGGTGAAGCATCCTATGAGTCAGGGTGAAGCATCCTATGAGTCAGGGTGAAGCATCCTATGCATCAGGTTGCAAGAGGGGGCAGAAGGTTATCTCTGTGAATCCCTGTCTCTTAATTCAAAGGGGCTCCAGCCGTCCCAAAGCCAAACTCTGGTAAATATGAATCAGTAAAAAAACATAAATGGGCTACGCAGCACATCATCTGGTGGAACACAGGTCACCTATACTCATTCATTGCTCAAAACGGATATCTTGCTTGAAAAGCCAACTTTCTATGTATATACCGCCTAAACCCAAATCATTGGCTAAAATTGGGATAAAAACCACAACAGAATGGTTCCTGGGAAACAGCTGTGGAGGCTTCCAGTGTCTGACCTGGCATGAGGCAGCATGGTAGGACTGTCTGTAATCCGTAGCATCTTACTGCGTCACACAGTCAGGATGCAGTGAAAGAGCTCATTCAACAGGATGGCCAAATGACCTGCAGCAGTGGAACAACTCCATTGAGCTGTCAGTGTAACCCATAGGGGTTACCACTATTAATATGGAACAGTTGGCACTAGGAGAAATGCCTGCAGTGCAAGACTGAATGTATGGAAAGGCCTGTTGAGCCCATTTTTACCAGGCTGTCACTAGAAATACCACAAATCTCCCACACTCTAAGAACACGCATGACCCCATTATGCGTGAAGTTCAGTAATACATAGACAGCAGATTTCCACAAAAGCACTGTTATGTGCTGTGTACAGTAGCATGGTGCTACCTGATTAACATGGATCCTCATGGAATGCTAGCCACTCTGTGTGTGTCCAGGACCACATCTGATGTCATGTTCTGGGTGACGGATCACAAATAAGCTAGACCCATTGCGTTGCTTGCAAGTCAGTTGTACCAAGTAACTCCCAATTCAAAGTGTTATACTTCTACAGTGTGAATGAAATCAACTGAATAGAACAGTACTACCGGTAGTTTGTCTGGAGAAGCAAGCTGTGGAGAGCATAGCCACAGTACAGTGTCCTCCGAGGCCCAGTCTGTGGCACAGCAGCACGGTCACAGCAGGAAAGAACAGTTCAGATGTCAAAGGATGTGGTTGACTGAGCACTAACTTGTGTGACTGGTTAGTGTGTTCCTCATAGGTTCAGAGGGGTTTGCAAAGGACTAGGGGATGGGCTCAAAATGTGGGGGCAAGGAGATGGAGGAGGGGATGCTACAGATGATGGGAGACAGGGAACATGGCTTGACTTGGGATAGAGGGATATAGACAGAATTGGAAACGATGAATAGAACCAGAGAGGGCTGGGTAGAAAGAGGATGACACTCACATGCATAGGCAAGCATAGCTCCAAGTCAATGGCATTTATTTAATGATACTGTAGTTTAAACAGTAGCGGTGCATGGGTGAAATCACGGGGGAAGCCAAGCCAGAAACAAAAGCCAGATTACAACTTGTGTGTTGTGATAATTGCGTTGTTTGCTCTATAACCTGTTAGTTCATATGCCTTGTGATCATGATATATAGGCCTAAGGCTAAGACAATAAGAAGACACAGTGGCAGAATAAATTCAACCACACCTTTGTTTCATCACAAAACCGGAGAGCAACTTCTGTCTGGTGATGTCCACAAAAGCATATTGCATGTAACAAACAGTTACCCTACATAACCTACAGCATGGTCAAGCAAGTTAATGTTTCCGACATTTGATTTAGAACCACGGAGAGTTACCGCAAGTCACAAAGAAAACAGGAACTGCCTCCACTATTCCAACACCATTGCAACTTCAACATTTCAACACATCATCAAATCACCTATGCTTAGTCTAATACAGTGACAACTAAAAGATACCAAAAGACGATTTAGTCCAATCAACATAACCTAAATATGATCTGACTGTCCATGGTTCTGATATGTGTGTGTGTGTGTGTGTGTGTGTGTTAGTGCAAGTAGAAAAAACATGTTGACTCACCCTACTTGCAGAGAAACGCCAATGTCATCTTCCTCTCTTTCATGTTGACGAAATGGTCTATGACTCTGTCACAGTATCCACTTTTATTTTTTGTTGTCCTAGGCTCCTGGCTAAAATGCTTGCTCGTTAGCCTAACTTCCTTTCATGGGCAACATTAGGTAGTTAACATTAGCCTTCTACAGTGCATTCGGAAAGTATTCAGACCCCTTGACTTTCTCCACATTTTGTTACATTACAGACTTATTCTAAAATTGATTAAATTGTTTTTTTCCCCCCTCATCAACAAAGTACACACAATACCCCAGAATGACAAAGCAAAAACAGGTTTGTAGAAAATTATTGTATTAAAAATTAAAAACGGAAATATCACATTTACATAAGTATTCAGACCATTTACTCAGTACTTTGTTGAAGCGCCTTTGGCAGCGATTACAGCCTTGAGTCTCCCAGTCCCTGCCGCTGAAAAACATCCCCACAGCATGATGCTGCCACCATCATGCTTCACCGTAGGGATGGTGCCAGGTTTCCTCCGGACGTGACGCTTGGCATTCAGGCCAAAGAGTTCAATCTTGGTTTCATCAGACCAGAGAATCTTGTTTCTCATGGTCTGAGAGTCTTTAGGTGCCTTTTGGCAAACTCCAAGTGGGCTTTTTACTGCCTTTAACTGAGGAGTGGCTTCCGTCTGGCCACTCTACCATAAAGGCCTGATTGATGGAGTGCTTCAAAGATGGTTGTCCTTTTGGAAGGTTCTCCCATCTCCACAGAGGAACTCTGGAGCTCTGTCAGAGTGACCATCGGGTACTTGGTCACCTCCCTGACCAAGGCCCTTCTCCTCCGATTGCTCAGTTTGGCCGGATGGCCAGCTCTAGGAAGAGTCTTGGTGGTTCCAAACTTCTTCCATTTAAGAATGATGGAGGCCTCTGAGTCACTGTGTTCTTGGGGTCCTTCAATGCAGCAGACATTTTTTGGTACCCTTTCCCAGATCAGTGCCTCAACACATCCTTTCTCGGAGCTCTACGGACAATTCCTTCGACCTCATGGCTTGGTTTCTGCTCTGACATGCACTGTCAACTGTGGGACCTTATATAGACAGGTGTGTGCCTTTCCAAATCATGTCCAATCAATTGAATTTTCCACAGGTGGACTCCAATCAAATTGTAGAAACATCTCATGGCCCTGAGTTGAATTTTGAGTCTCATAGCAAAGGGTCTGAATACTTATGTAAATAAGGTATTTCTGTTTTTTGATTTGTAATGAATTTGCAAAAATGTCTAAAAACCTGTTTTCGCTTGGTCATTATGGGGTATTGTGTGTAGATTGATGAGGAAATTTTTTTATGTAATCCATTTTAGAATAAGGCTGTAACGTAACAAAATGTGAAAAAAGTAAAGGGGTCTGAATACGTTCCGAATGCACTGTACATCTAGTTACATATTGAACTTCCATCCTCTCAGTCCAGGGGTACAATGTTCATACATTCATATTCATAAATTCATATTTATGGTTGATCAGAATCACCGTTATAATCATTGGCCAGTACGGAGAATTGAGTAAAGTCCAAATCCCTATCTCCATCCATGGCTAATTTAGGAAATGGACAATTTTAGCTAGCTAGCCACCGTTTCGCTCGCTCGGATGCTTTTTCCGGTGAAATACATTCAGCCTCTTGCGAAGTGAAGGAAAATTATGAGAACACAGAGACAAAAGAGAAATTATTTTACATGCTTTTGTAATTTCTTCTTGGTCCATTTTTTTGGGGGAAGCCTGGCTTCCCTTGGTATCCAGGAATACACGCCACTGAGTTTAATTGCCTAGTCACGGCTATCAATTATATATTCGTATATACACTGCCGTTCAAAAGTTTGTGGCACTTAGAAATGTCCTTGTTTTCCATGAAAACATACATGAAATGAGTTTGAATAGGAAATATAGCTAAATGAATAGGAAATGTAGTCATTGCAAGGTTAGAAATAATGATTTTTAATTGAAATAATAATTGTTTCCTTGAAACTTTGCTTTCGTCAAAGGATCCTCCATTTGCAGCAATTACAGCCTTGCAGACTTTTGGCCATTGTAGTTGTCAATTTGTTGAGGTAATCTGAAGAGATTTCACCCCATGCTTCCTGAAGCACCTCCCACAAGTTGGATTGGCTTGATGGGCAAGCTGCTCCCACAACAGCTCAATAGGGTTGAGATCCGGTGACTGTGCTGGCCACTCCATTATAGACAGAATACCAGCTGACTGCTTCTTCCCTAAATAGTTATTGCATAGTTTGGAGCTGTGCTTATGGTCATTGTCCTGTTGTAGGAGGAAATTGGCTCCAATCAAGCGCCGTCCACAGGGTATGGCATGGAGTGACAAATCTCCCACTTTACCACCACCAAAGCACCCCCAGACCATCACAATGTCTCCACCATATACCAATACTAGTGCCAGTTCATAATTGCATTTGACCCACCAAGTGTATACAGACCCATGCAGTCGATACGTAGTTAGTCACCCAAGCTCAAATCCACCCTTAGCCCCTACCCCTTAGATAACGTTTGCCATATTGTTTATGGGTGTTAGGCTACATATTGTTTATAATTTGTTATGGGTGGTAATGGTATGGGTGTTGAGAGTGTGTTTGCTGAAGCCCCTGTGTGTGTGTGTGTGTGTGTGTGTGTGTGTGTAGGACTCTTTGCCTTTCTGCTGATGCTGTTGGAGTGGACCAAACCAGGGCTATCTAACCCCCTGCGTCCGATCTGTGACCTGCGGGTCCTAAAACACTTCATTGAAGAGGCCAGAGACGCTGAGGCAGCCATGGTGAGACACATACCACACCGACGTCTGGTCTGGTCTCTTGATGGCCATGAGCTGGTGCTATTTACAGAGATAGTCATAGTAATAGTTACATTTCATCTCACACGTCTCCAGCTGTCTTCTAATCTATCCATGTTTCCTTGCCCTGTTTCTCTTCTTCATCCATCCCCCTCTGATCTCAGCTGGCATGTAAAGAAGGACGTGGTCTTCCAGAGCCCGTCACTGTTCCCCAAACCAAAGTAGACTTCAACGTCTGGGAGAGGAAAAATGTGAGTAACAACAGTCTCAACCTCTCTCTCTCCCTAAGAATCAATCTGCTTAAGAATGTGCTTTACCATTATCAAATCAGCAATATATCCTGTTATCCCATTGTAGAGTCATATAGAGAGAGAGTTTGGCCATTGAGGTTTTAACCTAAATCACATGGATCTGGTCAACTGGTGAACTATGTCTATCTCTGTGTGTTTCTGTAGGCACTGGAGCAAGCTCAGGAGGTACAGTCTGGCCTGTGGCTGTTAAACCAGGCCATCGGCTCGCTACGAGCCACCGCCACCGACACAGCGCTGCACAGCCACATAGACAACAGCCTCAGAAACATCTTCAGCATCGGACAGGTGCTGCTCAGCCTCAACATCCAGGTGAGCCAGGTCACAGAGGTCAGGGTTCAAAGGGCAAGCTTGGGTCAATGGCAGAGTGAGGTTGTGGCATGAGGACATAGTGGTGAATATTGAGGTAAATTAACTGTCAGGCAAACAGGTGAACAGGTAATCAATCAGTGCTGTAATTACCATCACGCCATTGTAGTTATTATTGAATTACTTATGGAAGTTGCTATTGGAGACAAGAATAGGAATGTTCGCTATCTTTAGTTCACTTTTGGCCCTGTCCAGGCAGATGCATTCCTACAGACACGCAAGGTTTAACCTGAGTGACTCAGTTACTACTAGAGCTTGCTTGTGGAGGGAAGGGGGGAAGTGGGGAAGAGGGGAAATTGGGAAGGGGGGCTGTATGGTTGTGTCATACTGACTGTAAGGAACTGACGTGTCTGAGAAATTCTAAGAAATCCCTCGCCAGCGGGGCTGGTTTTTAGATAGTAGCGGAAATGACAACAACCACACTTGCATCCACCAGTGAGATCACTGACAGGCAGGCAGAGTTCACTGGGTACACGCCAAGGCCATGGAAAGACAAACGGAGCTCCAGTCACTCCATCTGTACATTCAGGCTCAAGGGCCACTGGAGCGGTTTCATAGTAGAGACATCAAACAAACATCGCCCAAGGCTTGTACCCTGGTGAAATAGGCCTACTGCTGATATACACATCAGGGTTAGGTAGTAATGGATTACATGTAACAGGGATTACGTAAACAGATTACAAAAATGAAGTAACTATTAAAAAAAATATATATATAGACCCCTGCTTGCTGAATTGTCTGGATCTTTGTGTCAAATTACACTTTGGATTAGTCAACTCATCTCCAGCCTGTTCACTTCCCAAGCACTAGGACATGGGTATTCAACTCTTACCCTACGAGATCCGGAGCCTGCTGGTTTTCTGTTGTACCTGATAATTCATTATAACCACCTGGTGTCCCAAGTCTAAATCAGTGCCTGATTAGAGGGGAACAATGAAAAAATGCAGTGGAACTGGCTTCGGGTTCCAGAGTTGAGTTTGAAGGCACTAGGATAACATTAAGATTTCTCTTGGATCCTTCACATCTCTGTTTGTTGTCTTCCTGTCAGGAGTACACCCCTCCAGCAGGGGGAGTGGCTGGAGGTGAGGAGACATGGCGGGTGTCGTCTGCCTCAGAGCTCCTCCAGGTCCACGTCAACTTCCTGCGAGGCAAGGTGCACCTCTTGCTGTCCAACGCACCTGTCTGCCACCAGGGTAGCAGCTGATTGGGGCTCTCCGAGGCAGGGCTGAACTGATTGGAGCTCCTTCTGGCAGGGGGCGGGCTCTGACACTATTGACCCTGCTTGTTGCCAGGTAGAAGTCTAAAAGAGGAGAGTGTGTGGACCAGATCCTCACAGGAGAGAATGAAGCTATGTGGACAGAACAGTTCCTATTGGACTTTTAAAAGGACAAGAGCAGGTAGCACCTTGAATATGGACATGAGGGAGGTATGTAATGAAGAAGTCACCAATGAATGGGGCCCATAGAATGCACTGCTCTACAGCTCTTCAGTACTGTGTGTGTGTGTGTCTGTGTGTGTGTGTCTCTGTGTGTATGTGTGTCTGTGTGTCTGTGTGTTTTAGCATGAGTGTGTGCCTGTGTGTTTTAGCATGGACTGTGAGTTCTCGTCGACAAGCACTGCACAGTCCACGTGGATTGCACATGATGACACCTTGTTGGAGTTATACTCCACTGTACCTGACTGACAGCATTGACTGCCTATCAAAGTCCAGGATGAGGAGACCAGCCTGTACCACAAACTCTTCAAACATCACCGCCTGCCTCATTCTTAACACACAACACTTTTCCAACTGCTGTCTATTAGTGTCCTTGAATGAATTTTATATTGCTTTTGTAATGACTTATTTATATTTCTACTTTTAAGCTCCACTCACTGTCATGGCTATAGTATTCTGAGATATATACTGTAACTAGGAGCTAGAGACCACAGTCGGGCACTAGCGGTTAATCATAATCACTATATAACACCACTGAACATTGATGTTGTAAAGATATTTGTATACGTCAATATCCAACCATTCACTACTGTCTGTTACCCTTCATAGAATAAATGATCAGTGTGTTTGTATGTATGTATGTACTGTGTGTGTGAGAAAGTATCTGTGTGAATGACAGTTTTATACAACTCTTATAACCCTATTGAATGGACTAGTCGGGTTGAAGGAGGAAAAGATTGAGAGGAAGAAAGGGCTTACACGAGAACTCTGAAGCTATGCGATGATTATCAGTGTGTCTAGCTTATGCAGACCAGGGCTCAACTAGAGCTTTGACGCAGATAGCAAGACTGCCAGGAAAAATATTGATTGGTTCTTATGATGAACATCCTGCATGCCTGTCTGTCTTTCTCCGTCATTCAACCAGCAGCCAATCAACCCAAATCCTGGGAACCTTTGGAGTCGCTGACGTTGTGGATGCTTTCAATTTCGGGATTAATTTTGTTCTCCTGTGTTGTTTTGCTTCCTGTTTGAACGTCTTCCAGTCACGGTGCAGATGTTTGAACGGATGTTTGTACATGTTTTTCTCCTGTTTGTTTCAGTCGTTTTGTCCCCTCTATCACAGTGCCATTTGGTATTTAAATACAAAATATTATTCTTAAATAAAATAAAAGGATGGATGACGAAAAAGGCAAGAGGAAGTTTGTCTGTTTGTGTGATAATTGCGTCTCTTTTGTTGTCCTGTCTCCTGTAGATATATCTGTGGTGTGGAAAGAAAGCCATGGGTAACACTTTATTTGGATAGTGTGTAGAGCATCTGCAGATGAACTATCTACAGACTACAAGTAACATTTCAACTAACCCTAACCTTAACCCTTACCCTAGCCCTAAAAATCCTTCTTTAACCTGTCTCCTCCCCTTCATCTACACTGATTGAAGTGGATTTAACAAGTGACATGAATAAGGATCATAGCTTTCACCTGGATTCACCTGGTCAGTCTGTCATGGAAAGAGCATAATGTTTTGTACACTCAGTGTAGTTTGTTGATAGTATGACCATCTGTAGAGATGGAAAATCTGGACTATCCAAATAGTGTGACCAAGCCATGTTTTGGGGTGGTAGGCTAAGTAACAGTTCAAATTCATTTGTGTGGGAAAAATGTGTCTAGAGCTTGGTTTTAGAACCATGGTTCAATAGTTTCACATACTTAAAATACAGTGTAAGCAGTGCACGAAAGAAGCATTCGAATGCCACCTAGTGGCGATTCACTGTTACTAACTTCAAAAATGACTGGATGATTGTCAGTTTTACACTTACTGTTTCATGAAACAAACTTCAGTACTTTTCCTATTTTATTATACATCATGTACAATAAATACTGTGTATACATATTCAAATGCTGAAGCTAAAAACATCAATTTGTACGATGTAAAAAAAACAAACATTTATTGACTCGACAGAGTTTGAATGTCGATGTATGTAAAATGCATAATTGGCACCAAATGACTAAAATATTACTTCATTCCCATGGTCAAATAATATTCAGTGTTTACACTTTTAAAAAAATCTAAAAGGTGTCACAAATACATTTTATGTAAGCTTTAAATCCACATCCTTTCCAGAGCATGTATTCCCACATGTGGAACAGGAGTTTTGTAGCTTGCATGAGTTATGCTGCGTTTACAAAAGGCAGCCCAATTCTGATCTTTTTTTTCACTAATGGGTCTTTAGACCAATCAGATCAGCTCTGAAAAGAGCTGATGTGAAAAGATCTGATGTGATTGGTCAAAAGACCCAAAGTGGAAAAAAGATCAGAATTGGGCTGCCTGTGTAAACGCAGCCTTAGTGTGGTCTGTCCCATTTCCTATGGGAGTTTTTTTCAGACATTGAATGATTGGAAATGATGGCATGAAACACCACATCTTGATACTAACAAATACACTGCTATGACTGACATGCATAACAAAATGACAAAGCTGAGAAAGAACTTCCAAAAGCTCTGAAATTAGCTCAGTTCATAGATACTTCTAATTATTCCTCACATCTGGATAACAGGATCTTAGCCACCGCAGAGGGTTAGGATAGCCGGTGGGATTGACCAGGTGAGATACCCCTAGTATGACTAGCCTCCATTACTATGATATTACAGACACCATGACAATGGAGGTAGCTAGCCATAACCGAGCCTGGACTGATGGCGATGTGTTTCGGTTCACTGTGGGTCTGGGTAGAACACTTTGATATGAATAGCCGAATTATTCCGGGTGCGTGTCATGGGTTCCCCCACCTCGTCCGGGTCCTCAGGCTCCAGATCGTCCACCAGCTCCACTGTAGACGTGTTGGCCGCCAGCTGTAGCGCCCCCTGGCTGCTGGCCTGGAGCTGCAGGGCGATGTTGATGGCCCTGTTGATGGCCAGGCCCAGACCATGGACGCAGATCTCCCTGTGGCCTCCTCCCTCCAGGAGCTTCTGGCAGCGGGCCAGCTGGGCCCGGAAGTCTGTCTTCATGTTGACGTACACGTCGTTGCGGCGCTTGGGCAGCTTCCTGGGGAGACGCTTGCGGAGGGTGTACTCCACAGGGTCCATCTCCACCACTGTGCCGCTGCCATCGGCTGGGGGCATGATGATGCCTGGGGGTGTCTGGGGGACGGAGGCTGAGATAGGGCTGTGTGGTTCTGTCATCACGATTGAGTCAGTCAGAGACAGGGAAGGGTGGGATGGAGCACTGCAGTAATAGGAGGCAAAAACAACAGGAAAGGAAATGTCAATGACAAGAACGGAAGATCAACACAATCATCTTTCATACAGCAAATATACTGCTTAGCCAATCTACTGAAGGTCCTGAAATACTGAAATACCAGAGAGGTCGACCGGTAGCTAGCTAGCTAGATTGGAACGTAATGTAATTTAACCGTCACACTCTGTGCTAAAATGTGTCACTCCAAACAAATGTAGTTAACGTTATGACAATATAAGAACGGGAAAGCAATCAGACTGTACCTCCAACCTCGGTTTGCAACCAAATTATTCTTATTTTAGTCGCTATCGTGCTGGGGAACTCATAACCTGAGAGGTTGGTGAACTTCCGGAAACACAGAGGTGCCCCGGAAGTAATCAATATGAAAACATTCTCCTCCATCAGTAAATATTATGAAAAGTAATATCAAATACAGTGTTGCGGCACCCTCTGATTACTAGAGAGAAAAAAAAAAAAACGTTTATTTGCAGTCTGACCAGAGCGACTTTTTAAATATATTGGTTCAATTGAATAGCCGCGATAATAGGATCTGGGGCGTATTCATTACGGAAACCGTTTACCGTTTAGAAATCAAACGGAAGCAAAGAACAAACGGAACGAAACAGGGAAGGACCTAACTGAATTTGACCAATATAAACTCTCGTCTGCGTTTTCCGTTTGGAGTAAACGGTTGGGAACAGAATCTGCATAATGATTACACCCCTGTTGTTACAACCCCCCCACCCCATGTAAACAACCCACGTGAAAGTGTTGACGTATGTGTATCGATTACATACATACCACTACAACCGCTTGCGAGCACGCTAAAACGCATTAGATTCAGCCCAATTGCAAATATGTATATTATTATAAGTTATACATGCTGTGCAAGCGCGGGATGGTTCGTCTGAAAATTGCATACCCAGCTAACATTAGCAAACAACTCGTAACACAAGTCAATGTTAAGTCACGTGGTGCGAGTAGGGCGGCCATCTTTCTCTTAAAACACAAACAACAAGAATAGCGAGCAGACTTCTCGACTAGACATCAACACGCAGCGACCGTATTGAACACGACTGCATGAGAGTATCAATACCATTCTGTTGGAGGAGGATGTTTACAGAAAGAGAAAGGAAACCAATGCATATGAATTAAAACCGAAGATTGTACACAACAAAACGTATTTGAAAAATAAACTACATTAATTCAGAAAGGTAAGCTATGGTTCCTTGAGCATTTGGGAATGGTTGACACTCACCTATAACGTTACGCAGCTAGCAAATCACTTTAATCTGAGAGGGCCCATACAAACGCGAGTCAAGTGCCAAAATTCTCTCGAAGGAAATGATTGGTGTTTCATTAGATGGGGCTCTGAGCGAGCCGTAGGACGACGGTATTGTCGGTTACCATTGCTGTTTTATTGGTTTGTTTTGCTCGGGTTGTGGAAGGCCATAGTAAGCAGCGGGGTAGAGTTGTAGGGGCGGCCGACTGACGCGGGAGGGGGAGCGCGTTGATTCACACACGCGGACACTCCG